CAAAGTAATAAATATAAAAAATGATGCATGGATTGCAAATAAGCATATGAAGCCAGGCATAGTGGAGTTATAATCCCAGTGACTTGTGAAGCTAATGCAGCAGAATCAAGAGTCATGGTCACAGGCATTAGACCAGAGACTAACTAGAAGAAAAAGGCCCAAATCTCTATCATGTCAGCTTAGGAACCAAATTCCTCAACAAGACTCCGAAAGAACGAGAAGTAAAAAATCAAGAATCAATAAATGGGATTGTATCAAAGTAAAAAACTTTTTCAGTACAAAGAAAACTATCAAGAACATGAAGAGAGAGCCTGAAGAATGGGAAAAAATCTTTGCCAACTACACCTCAGATACAGCATTAATCTCCAGGATATATAAAGAACTCAAAAAACTTAACACCAAAACCACAAATAATCCAATCAATAAATGGGCAAAGGAACTGAACAGATACTTCACAGAAAAAGAAATATGAATGGTCAACATATGAAAAAATGTTCAACATCACTAGCAATTAGAGAAATGCAAATTAAAACTACATTGAGATTTCATCTCACTCTAGTCAGAATGGCAATTATCAAGAATACAAGTAACAACATATGCTGGCAAGGTTGTGTGGGGGGAGGAAGGTATATTCATACATTGCTGATGGRACTACAAATTGTTGCAACAACTCAGGAAAGCTGTATGGAGATTCCTCAGAAAACTTGGAATTGAACCACTATTTGACCCAGTTATCCCACTCCTCAGCATATATCCAAAGGACTTAAAATCAACTTACTATAGTGATTTGGCCACATCATTGTTCATAGCAGCGTAATTTCAATAGCTAAGCTGTGGAACTAACCTAGGTACCCTTATGTAGACAAATAGATAAAGAAAATGTGGTACATATACATAATGAAATATTATTCAGCCATAAAGAAGAATGAAATTATGGCATTTGCCAGTAAATGAATGGAGCTGGAGAATATCACACTAAGTGAAATAAGCCAATCCCAAAAATCAAAGGCCAAATGTTCTCCCTGATGTGCATACAGATGATGACTCACAATGGGTGGGGTGGGGGGTGGAGAGGAGAGGTTCACTGTATTGGATAGGGTAGAGGGGGGSAATGAAAATGGGAAAGATGTAGAATGAATTGGACATAATTTTCCTATGTTCATATATGACTACACAACCAATGTAACTCCACATCATGTACAATCACAAAAATGGGAAGTTATACTCCATGTATGTAATGATATATCAAAATACATTCTACTGTCATGTATAACTAAAAAGAATAAAAWTTTTTTTAAAAAAGAGTCAAGGTAAGCCTTAGCAACTAGCAAGACCCTATCACAAAATTTAAAAACTAAAAGGGTTAGGGATATACCTCAGTGGTAAAGACTGCCTGTGTTCACTTCCCAGTTCAAAAATATATATAGTAAGTAAGTAAATACATAAAATAGGCACATAAAAGCAACATCAGTCATTTGGCAAATGCTAATTTAAGCCACAATAATATACTATTAGAATAGCCACAGTATCAAGGAAGACCTAAAGAAAGTGAAGTGTTATACACTGCTGATGGAATATAAAATGGAAAATGACTGTGGAAAACATCTATAATATTATATTCCCAAACCGGCCATAACTCACATGTCCATCAACAAGAGAATGGATGCACACACCATTGTTAGTTGTGTAAGAGAAGAGTTCTTGACCATAGAAGGAACAAACTATTGAAACATCCAGCAACATGGATGTCTCTTAAGATAATTTTGCTCAATTAAAGAAGCCAGGCCAAAAAAGAACACCTTGGGACATATCCCTGTACTTTATCTAGAAAAGGACTGTTGGTCTTAACCGTTTTCTGGCCTCATGCACCACATGGACCTTCCTGCTGTCTGCACTTTATCATCTTGAAGTAAGAGCAAGTCATCATCATATACAACCTACATGATGAGAAAGAAGACTTTTGAAAAGCAAGAGGAAAGCAAGTCAAAAGAGAATTTATTTTAGAAAAGATGATTTACAAGACAGGTCCTAGAACCAACAATTTTTTACCAACAATTTTACTATTTTACCATAATAATTTTACTATAAGCAATGAAAAGTCATAGGTAAAACCAACCAGAGTGTAAGAACCACAAATGCAATATAGACAGTTAAAAAAAAAAGAACCTTTTTACAAAAGAATAATACAATCACAATGAAGAGTGAGGGAAAGAAAAAAAACTAACCCGAGCAACTGTGAAAACAATTGCTTGACTGTTCAAAGTAAGACAAGAGACAAATTTCCTTTTCACAAGCATGTGTGTGTTAGCAATTCTGAAACAGGATTGATCATGTAAGTATACTGTGGCTAACGAGAGTAGGTTTCTCACTGTTGGAATAAGATTAGGACAAACCCTGTGGCTGCAGGATTGAAACTACAGGGATCGGGGCTGTTGACACTCGTACAGATGATAGACTTCAGAAAAATCTAGATCGTGTGAATGCATAAGTTAGTTATCTGAAGATATCTCATAACACTTTGTGCTGAGAGGATATACAATCAATGATACCCCAGGAACAGCAAGCACACCTAGTGCCCTTATCTTTAAATCTAACTATCGTTCATTAATAAAAGAAACCAGCACTTCTTGGCAAAGTGGTTGATTTGTGGAAAATGACAAAATAATCCTGGAGCATTCTGTGACATGGAAAAGACAACAGTGTTCAAACAATGATGAGCATATTGAAAGGACACATGGACCACTTTGAATAAACTACTAATGGCCAAAATCTGAGGTAATCTGAGCAAGACAATAATGACAGAAATGGTTATTATCCCTCAAACAAGTAACCAAAAATCCATACTAATATAAATTCAATGACTTAATAAATGGTGGAGGAAGGATGATTCTTTATATAATATATAATTCTAATTAAAAATGCAGAAGACAAAAATATTGTAGAATATGCAGAAGACAAAAATATTGCCTATTTCAACAGGCAACCACCACAGTAATAACTTTTACAGACAAGAAGCATTGATGAACATTTGCATAGTCTCAAAAAAACTCCCTATAAAATAATTATTAAGGGCTGGGGATGTGGCTCAAGCAGTAGCACCCTCGACTGGCATGCATGGGACGCTGAGTTCGATCCTCAGCACCACATAAAAAAATAAAATAAAGATGTTGTGTCCACCRAAAACTAAAAAATAAATATTTAAAAATTATCTCTTTTTAAATAAAATAATAATTATTGATATCAAAAGAAAAAAAAATAGTAACACTATATGGGGAAGACCTGTACAACACTACATTACCACATGATTGACATGAACTAATCACAAGCAATTAGACATGTTAACAGTACAAACCCCACAACGATGTACTGAGACCTGCACAATATTGCTTCCGTGGCATTACTGCAAAAATCACTCAACTTCAACCTAATCATGAGAAAACATCAGGCAAAACCAACTTAAGTGACATTCTGGAAAACAACTGGCCAATAAAGGTCACAAAAGGTGAGGAAAGACTGAGGAACTGTCCGACTAGAGGAGACTAAGAAGACATGACCACCAGAGGCAACTCAGGTCCTGAATCAGCTCCTAGACCAGAAAAAGAAAATAAGTAGGAAAACTGGCAGCATTCAAATAATTTGAGAATTAACAGTATTTTATCAATGTTAACTTTCTGGTTTTAATAACTATGATTCTACACAATCTTAACATGGTGTGAATGCATAATCTGCAGATATTTCATAAAAGGGAAATCTGGGCAAAGTATATACAATAATCACATTATTTTTGCATCTCTTCTGTGAGTGAAGTGTTTCATTCATATATATATACATGTATACATACACATACATACATACACACACACACACACACACACACACACACACACATATATATTTAATCTCTAGGTGGAGCCTCAGAGTAACTCAGTGATACAGTGGGTGCTTAGCATGTGCAAGGCCCTGGGTTCAATCCCTAGCAACCCCCATCCCTGGGTAGGTTGCCCTCTGTTGGTTCTGGGCAACCCTAGATCTATGCCCTTCACCCACTTTCCCAAGGTGAACAGCTGCACCTTGTGGTGCCCTTCAGAAAAGGCAGCCAGCCAAAAATGTAGCAGCAAATACTTAGGAAAGGGAGGGTGCAGGTCTCACAGGTCACATCCACTTTCTTTTTCTACATATGGTATCTAAGTTCTTAACAATGAGCACCTATTACAATGAGAAAATCAGGGGAGGGGATAATGATCCTTAGGAATTATTTATAATAATCATTTCCCTAAGATAACACATTTCATACTCATCATCACAGTAATAATTTCTTGTCCATTACTAAATGAGATATTGCTCTGATGAATTGCTCAAGTAATTTTTCAAAGTAATCAAAAAAGGAAACACAGTCCTATTTAACTTCTCAGTTAAGCCAGACCTTGAAACATTCAGATAACTTCTATGCTGTGTGAATTACATTTTTCCTTGATACAATATTTGAAAACACAAATCTTTCACTTACTTTTTCATTTTTTATTGTTACATAAAGGTAGACCTCAAAAGTATCTTCTTCCACAGCACATAATTTGGCTTCCACCTGGGTAGTTGCTAAACAGCATAAGTAAGAGCACAAATAAGCTGATGAGCAAAGTACACTTGATATGATCATGACTATTTCTTCTTAGGTTCTTAGGTGGTTAGTCACTGCTGACCAATAGCCAGCAGCTTCCTCAAGCAGGGTAGGTTCCTTGAGCACAAGGCRGCAGGGTGAGCGAGCCTTGGAAAAGGATCTCCTGACTGTAGAGTGAGCCACATATTCTCTGTCCACATCAACAGTGTCCCCCTGCCACTTTATGAATACAAGTGAATACTTCTCCAGTAAGTACACTTCTCGGTCCTTCTCTCTGACTCCCACATCCAAATTTCTAGTCATAAACTTTCCTCCAAGTACCTCTTCTCTCCTCCAAACACCCCATGAACTGAACTTCTTAGCTACTCTATCACAGTCTTGAGAACCCAACAGGAGCTCAATTTATGGGTACTTATCATGAACTGTGTTAAGTCATTTATACACCTGGTTTCATTTGATTTTTATCACAACCTTTTTTTTTTTCAATCATTTTTCAGGTAAGGAGACCAGGTTCAGAGAAAATTAAGTAACTTGCCCAAGGCTACATACACAGAAGGGGATGGGCAGAATTCAACCCCAGGGGGTTTAYATCTCCAAACCCATACTCTCTTAGCATCACCCATAATGGGCTCACAAGAGCCCAAACCCCAAACCTAGTGACAACCACCCCAACCTCTTACTTCTCCCAGTTTCAAAGCTTCTGGCTTTTCCTTTTTTTCAAACAAAGGGGCAGCACAGGAGAGCCAGGACCCAACTACATTCCAGGCAGCACCCTAGGCAGGTCATACCTACTAGTTCTTTAGTACAGCCCTAAGAGGGAGGCACAGACATGGGCCCCTAAAAGTCAGGACAGTTGCCATAAAAGAGGTTAATTTTACAACCACTCAAATAAAATAACACAGTAAAAAGTAAATACATTTTATATATCTTAAATTAGCAATAATGATTTTTACATAATAAATATCCTTTGCTCACTAAAAAAAAGGGTAGGTTTTTAATTGTTAGTTCAATAAAATTCACATAAATTTATTCTACAGCCCTGCAGTTTTTAAGTTTATTGTGTAGGGGATTCATCTACAGAAACAGCCACTTTCTATTTCAGCTGTTAATTATTGGCATCAGCATCCACCCACAAAGTTTCGGGGGTATAGTCACTGTGACACTGATGTTAAAGAAGCTCCCATGTGCCAGCTAAGCAGACACAGRTCAAAACCCCTCGTCAACGGAAGGGTAAGCCACCACGAGTGTCAGTTCAAAGGAGGGTACAGTGAATATGACTGTCTTACCTTTTAGAATATTCTGAAAGTACTGGATTGCTGCACTATCCCACTTTTTGGCAGGGCTGGAAAAATAAACAGATAAAACTTCATTATAAAATATAACCCTACTATACTAATTTCATTTAGTAAACCATATACTAAATATTTCTGGCATTAAATATAAAGCATATTTGCTAGAGGTAGCAGGGAGATTGTCTCTGGCTCTGTTCTGCTCATGAAGACTCTATGAACATCCTGCAAAACCAAGGTCACCTTCACTACTGCAGAGACTCACATTAGTCAGGCCCTGCTGGGTTGTGCCCAATACCATGCTGTCTTCTGTTACAACACCCTCATCCCCAGTTACCTGTGACAAATCTGTCTTCCCAGCCAGAATGCAAGCTCCCTGGGGAAGAGATCCAAAGTGTGCAATGTCCAGCACAGGCTGGCATGGAGAGCAATGTGACAGACATTGGCTAAACCAGCACTCCACAAGGTGGTTAGAGAAACCCAGTCACTATCATCTCAAGCTATTCCTCCCTTAGCCGACTCTAGAACCCCCATGCCCTCTCCCATTAGATGTCCATCAGCTCGCTCCTTCTACATCTTTCTTCTGCTTTGGCAAGGAAGAAAAAAAGCTGTAGGCAACAGAAAAAGCAGGAGAAACCAGTATTTGGTAGCAAGAACAAAACTAAAATAAAGTTTTAGGTTAGTCTGTATTATGCTTCTACTGTTCTTATCCATCAGAGATTCTACCACCATTCTCCAAGAGTTCTTTTAAAGGAAAAATAGGGTAATGTGTATAACACATGCAGCCCAGTACCTGTATATAATTGGTATTTTATGTATATATGAATATATGTGTGTATATATATATGTATGTATGTGTGTGTGTATATATATATATATATATATATATGTGTGTGTGTGTGTGTATGTGTGTGTGTGTGTGTGTGTATATATAATTTTTTCCCTAAGAGGTTAAGCACATTACTTCAAAAGAATTACAAAGGATTTGTAAAAAGACATAGTACAGGGGGGCTGGAGTTGTGACTTGAGAGAGTAGAGTACAGGAAGATCTTCAAAGAGGCCAAAAGTATCCACAGAGAGGTCGTTTCCAAGTTGTTTTGTTTGTTTTGTTTTGCACTTGCCTYGCACATGTGAAGCACTGGGTTTGGTCCTCAGTACCACATAAAAATATAAATAAAGTGGAAAAAAAAGACAGTGGTTCAAAACTCTTGCTACATACAAAAAAATTTACCTAAAAATTTAAAAAATATATAGCCAAGCATGGTGGCACACACCTGTAATCCCAGCTATTTAGTAGGCTGAGACAGGAGGATCTCAAGTTCAAGGCCAGCCTYAGCATCTCAGAGAGACACTGTTTTGAAATAAAACAAATGAAAAGGGCTATCTCCCTTGCATGAGGTCCTGGGTTCAATTCCCAGTACCGGAAGGAAGGTAGGAAGGAAGGAAGGAAGAAATATATACACACATGTGAAAATAGTAAATTCCTATAAGGCAAACAAATGCAAGAGAAAAATCAATCTAGCATATGAACAGGTAACTCAATCAGTGTCTATCTCTTACATACACAGAGAATAAACACATGAAGAAATATCCAACTTTGCAAGTCAGAAAAATTCAAATTAAAACAAAGTGCCATTTTTACCTAACAAACACACAAAAATTTAAAAGCCTAGCAATACTCCAATACTGTATGGGGAAAACAGCACTTTCTGTACCCCAATGGTGGTAAAAATTGCTAGGGTTTTTGGATGGAAAAAATCTATCACAAATTATATAATACACACTAAGAAAAGCATTTTAGATAAAGTACAAATGAAAAATTATCACGTCAAAGAATGGGATCAAACTCAGTAAGACGACTTATCTTAAGTCCTTCACCTATACTGGATGTATCTTCATGTTGAGTGGGGTCCATCTAAGAGTGGAGAAAGCCCCTGCAGACTACTGAGACTGGGAAAGAGATCATGCAGAGGGAGCAAGACAGGAAATGGGTGGGCTTCCTCTAATGAGGAGCTGGGCTGTATAGGCGGGTGCCCAATTCATGCTTAAGTGTCAGCAGCTGGCTGCTCTGAAACACGAACAACTGAGTAGGCAGTGAGTACTGCCACACTAGGGCCCTTACTCCCAGAGTCTACACAGCAAAGGGTCATGAGTGGCAATGCACGCTGGCTGGAGGGCAGCCTTGTGGGAAGTAATGGTTTTCACAAAGACAAGCTGGCTTATTATCTCATCAGTGTGGATTCTGAGGCAGGCCACAAGAGTGATATATTCACCACCTCAAGTACAGGTGGTGTGGGTGGGAGAGGAGAGGAGAGGAAGATCTTCAAAGAGCTCAAAAGTATCTACAGAGAGGTAGCTTCCAAATTATTTTGTTTGTTTTGGTTTTGGTTTTGGTTTTGGTACCAGGGATTGAACCCAGGGGCACTCTACCACTGTGCTTCAACCCTTTTTATTTTTTATTATGAGACAAGGTCTCATTAAATTGCTGAGGCCCTTGCTAAAYTACTAAGGCTGGCATGGAAATTGTGATCTTCCTGCCTCAGCACTGCAAGTGGCTGGGATTACATGTATATACCACTACACCAAGCTATGGCTTTCAAGTTCAGAAAGTACAAACCATCATCACTGCCATGGCAAGTGGAGTCAGAATTGGGCTGATTCCTATGGCTTTTCTTTCTATATGCCACAATTCTGAAGGGAAAGGATGGAATTGACCCCACTGGCTACAGACACAGAAATCAAGCCACTCAGAATAGCAATTATAAAAAATACAAAAAATAATAAATGCTGGCAAGAACATGGAGAGAAAGGAACCCCCTTACACACTGTTGGTATAATGTAAATTAGTACAGTCACTGTGGAAAACAGTATGAAAATTCAAAAAAAACCCTAAAAAATAGRACTATCATATGATCTAGCTATACCTCTCATGGGTAAACACCCCAAAGGAAATGATATCAGCATATTTAAAAATGCCTGCATTTTTACTTGAAGCAGTATTCACAATACCCAAGATATGGAATCTGCCTAAGTGCACAACAACAGATGATTAAAAATATATGTGTTATATACAGTGGAGTACCATTCAGTCATAAAGAAGAATAAAATCATCATTTTCAGGAAAATGGACTGGATTGAAGGTTATCATAGTAAGTGAAATTGGCCAGACACAGAAAGATATGTATTGCATGTGGTTACACCAGTAGGTAAGAAAGACAGAGGGAAAGGCCAGAAAATGTAGGAGAGAAGAAGAGAGGGTGGACATGATTGAAGTACAACATAATGCATGGAAATGTCACAAAGAAACTATTAATTAGTACAACTGTTTTCACTGAATAATTATGATAATAATAAAATAACAGATCAAGTTTATACCTGACAAAATACTGCCCAATACAGGGTGCTTCTGTACAAACACTAGCACCATGAACAGATACTAGTAAAAAGGAACAAAGACAGGAGAGTGCGTGTGCACAGTGTCTATCTCTTGTCATCTACATATTTTATGGATGTGCCAAATCATATGGAAATAATGTAGCTAGCTATCAAGAGGAGAATGGTTAAGTACAAGTAAGATAATTACATCCACTCATGAAAAAAAATTAATGGTAAAGAGCTCCAACATACATTCTTAAGTTAATCTTGCTAATAAGTCAGCATGTTCTAATTTTCATTGAAAGATTCATGAAGATGAGATGTGTATAAAAGCACTGACAGGGTTCTAGAAGTTCAGAGGTTTAATAGACCACAAGGCCTCATAGAAGGGAGGACACAGGGCTGGAGAGAAATGCAATAAATGTTAGTTTGTTTGTTTGAGACAGGGGCTATGTTGCCCAGGCTGGCCTTGAATTCCTGGGCTCAAGTGATCTTTTACCTTAGCTTTAGCCCCCCAACTACAGGTGTGCATCGCTATGCCTGGTTAATATACTTTTCATGGTCCATGATCCTGCTTTCTTTTTTCTTTATAGATACCTTATTACTTTTTACAAGTTAAAAAAAAAAATAAAAAGGGCGAGAAGCACAGGCCCTCTTCTAACTTCCCCCTACCCCAACTTCTGCCCCAGGGGACTCTGCTGCACAGCCAGATTTGACAGTGACTCAGAAGCCAACTCTTGCAGAACAGAGATCTGTGAAATTTCTTAGCATTCCTACGGAGGAACAGATTTCAAATAAACACTTGATTTAAGACTTATTTAATGATTCAAACTATTGAAGAAGCTGTACTTACACAATTTCAGCATTGTCTTCACAGAAGTCAATGTGTAATGTAACAGGTTTTGTGCAATACAGTCTGAATTTCTTTGCTCTATAGGGAAGCTGCATAAAAGATTCTACTGCAACCCGGATGCTTAAAAGTGAAGCAGAGATAGTTCCATTACAAATAAAAGTTGTACACAATATAGTCATTTAAAGTATACCTACATAATACATAATCAATATACTTAATGTAAAACATACATACATGTAAAACATACATAATCAATATACTTAATGTAAAACTTATGCCTGTATGTGTGTCAACTTTTGCCTCATAAAGGTTAGGAAAAGGTGATTGCTTTATTTCATCATATATTGTTCTCCTGCCCAATCAAACTAAACTAAAACACCAAATACAAAAAAAAATCTTCCCAACAGTTAAACACAACAGTTATTTTTATAACAATTATGACTGTAAAGGTGCAGAATTGTAAGCTGGAAAGGTTATCTACTTTTTCCTAAGTATCTATAAATTCCCAATGTCTGGCAAGTCCTTGTGCCACAAATATTTCTATTCAGGATACCCCTCTTATTACAACTAAACTCTACTTGGTATTGCTCCTCCTTCAGTAGAAGAAAGTCCTCATATTTATTTATTGAATTGACAACCTCTTATCCTGGKAAGGAAACTGGAAAAGTTATCACAAAACGCTTGTTGCTAGCATTTTCTAATAAATTGTGACATGTGGCCCCAGAATCAGTGAAGGCTGCCTAGTCACCAGCTAGTTACCAGCTCACTACGAATTCTCTCCTCACCTTAAGCCATGGCCATGCTCTCACTTTAGTAAGTAGGACAATCAGGAATACACACTTGAGCACACACTCTGATCTCTGCAACCTGAGGCTGGGACAGCAACCTACCCTTCTGGAGAGAGAAGAGTTCCTCTCCACCTCCTGCTACTATCTTTCTTGCAGCCACTCTCCCTTAATGGACTTGCTCCATCACAGAGCAAATAGAGGGAATAGAACAGAGAATAACTGGCGAAGGATCTACAGGAGATGCAAAGAGAAGGGCCTGAACCTCTTTGCCCTTTCTAGGAAGGAAGGTGGAGACAGGCTGCCCTCAGTCTCATTTGACCACTGTTATTCCAGTCAATGAAAACAGAATCGGAACTTGCAAGTCTTCCATTTGACAAGTTAAAAAATTCTAGTTTCATCTTTCTCAAAAGATAACCTTTGGAGGCTGGGGTTGTGGCTCAMCTAGCATGTTCGAGGCCCTGGGTTCAATCCTCAGCACCACATAAAAATAAATAAAATAAAGATATTGTGTCCAACTACAATTAAAAAATAAATATTAGAAAAAAAATAACCTTTGTCACCTTACTTTAAAAATGGACATTCTTCTTTAAATYGACATCTGTCTCCTTAAAGAGTGTTAAGGCAAAATACATGCATACGTACTTTTTAGATTTTACTGGAATGTATTTGGCAAAATCCACAAGGAAACACTCTGCCAGGTAATGGTCTGCTGAAGATATGATTGACTTAATAACAGCCCTGCACCAGCACTTTAGTTCCTGACAATAAACCACACAAACCTACAAAAGAAAAGGAAGGTTTTGTTTTTAAGTTTGGTGTTAAAAATCTCTAGTCACATAAGAGAACCAAAAGGTCCTCTTGAAACTACCTCAGCGGCATTACCTTACAGAAGAGGAGAGATTCCAGAGGTTGGACCTGACTAAGCTAAACCAGTCTTCTAGCAAAAGAACTTTAGGAAGAACGTGAGTCAACCAGATTCTGTTCCACTGCTTTTCTTACTACAGTAGTCCCCTAATCCACAATTTCAGCACTCACTGGTTAACCAAAACCTGAAAATATTAATGTAAAATTCCAGAAATAAACAATTCACAAGTTTTAAGATGTGCTCTATTCTGAGCAGTGTGATGAAATCTCACCATCTCCTTCCAACAATCCCAGAATGTCTACCATACTCATGCTGCATGTGCAACCTGCCCATTAATCACTCAGTAGTCATTTTAGTAGTCATTTTAGCTGTCACAATATTGCAGGTACTTGCGTTCAAGTAACCCTTAATGGCCCCAAAGTGAAAACTATTAAAGTGTACTATTATAATTATTGTTTTGTTATTATTAATCTTTTACTGTGACTAATCCATAAACTATCATAAGTATTAATGGATGGGAAAAAATACAGTGTATATAGAGAGGCATTCCCTTGGGGTCTTAGAACAACATATCCCTTGCAGGTAGGTAAGGGGGACCATTATGAAATCATGCTGACTCCTTAACTAAGGAAAATTTTTAGAAAGTAAAAAATTTAAAATGCATTGCTTTACCTTCCTATATCAGAAAGCTTACAAATGATTGTTAATATGCGTCAGACTGATATAAAATTGCAACCCCAGGGTCATCCTCTTCATTCCCTTGCATGGCTTTTCCTACCCTCTAAATTTGTTTACTACCTGTCATAAACGGATGTTGGATCCATGAAAATGTATATTTTTGTTTTGCTTACTGCCATATTTCCAGGACCCAGCATGGTGCTTGGCATATACTAAGTCTTCAAAAGCCTCTCTTAAGGGGAACCACTCCACTTAAATGACAGTCCTTGGCATCCTGACTGAACCACAGGACCATCATACTCAATAGGTATTCCATGGCCAACCAAATTATATGCTGACCACAGGCTTATAAAGTCAGCCAGTAGCAAGAGCTGTGCCCAGTCAGGGAAGAAGTGGACCARCGGAGATTCCTGACCTCTGGAACTGAAACTGGAAAGTATGGTACAGCCACACTGTAAGGGATAAGCGCCTAAGAACCTCACATAATTCAAAAYTCAAATGATTCAAGATAAATTCTGACTGCCGCAGTCTGGCTGGGCACAAAATAACTGAGCCACCACAAAACCTTGTAGATTCCAACAGCAACTCTTTATACCCGAACTCTCATGGACACTCTACACACACTACCTGGGAATACACTGCCTCCACCCGGCTCCGCGCACCAATTCTCTCAGAACCCGGCGAGAACAAGAACTCAATGGGAACTCCAAAGGAGCGGGCACCTGAGGCAGCAGGATATGCCCTAATCCTGGAGCCGCCCTATTCCCAGCAGGATCCACCCTAAACCCGGAGCCACCCTAATCCCTGAGCAGGGTCACCTTTCAACCCAAAATGCCATGTGTCATTCCTACTTGGCTATGGCTCTCAGCATCTGACAAAGGATACAGGGTATTTATATTTAATGCTAAAATTCATGCAAGTTGTAAGAATGGTTTGACTATTTAATAGTTCACATAACTAGTAAACTTTGAAACTGTGTTATACTAGGGCTACTGCTTGTCAAAAATTAAATAATTTAAGTATCAAGCTGAACAGTGATTATAATTGAAGAAAACATTTACAAGCCAGAAATAAAAATGAAAAGAAAAGGCACTTAAAAGTGAAAAGAAAAGGAACTAGGGATGTTGCTCAATGGTGGAACACTTGCCTAACATAACATGCATGAGGCTCTGGATTAAATTCTTAGCACCACACACATACAAAATAGAAGAAAGAAAAACAAAATGAACCTCTGAACACCAATGGAAGAACATCATGCTGAAAATGCACTGGGGAAAGGATCAAGCAATTTTTTCTTTACAGTATAAAGTGTATTATTTCAGTCCTAATAAAGGAGGGAAGATTCCACACAGAATTCCAGCTCATGGATGCAGAGGGAATGAGAAATCACTATGTCCAAAGCATGAATAAAAGCTGATGCATGTCACGGTGGTCACTACAGAATGGAGAAACCACAGGCAGCATCCTAGGGAGGGATCAGGCTGTCACCATGTGAATCCACTGGCCAATCACAGCACCACCAAAAAGTGATATTACTTTCCAATTCAATACAACATGAACTTCACAGCACATTCTTAAGAGAAAAAAAGTGACCCTGTATCTATCCAAAGCTATATATTTAACTCTACTTAACTATCAGTCCACCTCCAAAAGGAAGCCCTTGGGAGTCCAAAATGTAAAATACTTTTAAAAAGGACAAATGAGCTGGTTTCATTCCTTCAATAAGGCAATGGTATAGAAAAATAATAAAACATATTATTAATGATTTTGAGGGAAAGAGATTAAAATGTTTTCTAGTTTGTTCAAAAAGAGTTTATAAAATATTTTCCCTTGGGGCTGGGGATGTGGCTCAAGCAGTAGCATGTTCACCTGGCATGCGCAGGGTGCTGGGTTCGATCCTAAGCACCACATAAAAATTTAAAAAATAAAGATGTTGTGTCCACCGAGAACTAAAAAATATTTTTAAAAAATTCTCTTTTWAAAAAAAAATTTCCCATCACACCACTAAAAGAATTCAAACTCTTCTCACGAATGCTGATTTGTCAAGACAATCACACAGTGGACAATGGGCAGTGACACTGCAAGAAGGCAAAAAAAGGCCACGATGTGGAGTAAAAAAAAGAAAGAAAGAAAGAAACACAAGCTGGGGCTAAAAGGGAGGTGTCAGTACAAGACTGAAAACTCCAAGCCCTCTGCTGAAGTGCCTACACCTGCAGCAGATTTAGATAATCTCTTCATTCCCAGACCCAGGAATATGGTCCTAATGCCTGGATTTAGATGTCATGCCATTTCCTATTGCTCCACATGAATCCTACACAACCACCGTCTTTGCATGGCTAGCCTCTATCTTGTGCTAAAAATCCTAAAGCCAGGCAATGATTATAAACAACTAACATTACTCCAAAAGATTTTATCACCCTAGGTGACAAAGTACTTTAAATTTTGAGTAGTGTTCCAAGACATGGTGATTAAACCACATTTAGATACATACCTGCCCTTCTTCCAATATTAATGGCTTTATTTCTATATCTTGACACATGCTGTTATAAAAGTCATTCATGGCAGTATTTAGTTTTTGGTAGTCGACTTCATGATCTAAAAAGGGACTACATCCTTTTATAATAACCCAGAAGCAACCTGGATCTTCAATCTGTAAAATTGTTAAAAGACAATGCATGATTTAAAAGTAGAWCCATAAAATGATAAACCTTACAAACATGATAACTATTTCCAACATAAGTGATCTAACAAATTCTTTTTTTTTTTTAAAGAGAAAGATAGACATTTATTTTTTAGATTTCGGCAGACACAACATCTTTTGTTTGTATGTGGTGCTGAGGATTGAACCCGGGCCGCACGCATGCCAGGCCATCGCCCTACCGCTTGAGCCACATCCCCAGCCCTCTAACAAATTCTTAACAAGTACTTTTGTCTTAAATAGTCAGACCAAATGTAAATACCAAAGTGTGTAAGCAACAATATGTAATTAATTCTTAATTATGTGCTATGAAAAGCAGAAATGCCCTTTATCTCCATATTTTGAAAACATAATAATATATACAAGCAAGGGTCAGGCCAATATTTTTAACATTGTTTTTCTAAAGAAGGAGAAATAAATAAGAATATATGTATATTATACTAATATTAAAAAATAAAAGATGATAAATAAACCAAAATAAATATAACTATTACCTATGGTGGAAGGAAGAATGAAGTTAAAGTCAAACCTATTGGAATATATCTGGTTACATGTTATTATTATGAGAAACCAAGATTCTCATTATTAGACATAAGATGAAAACATTAAAAAGTTAAATATGAGTTGAAAATAGAAGAATTCATGACTTTTCAAATGTATTTCCTAGCTCTGCCTAGTGAAAGGGCCTAGAAGCAATGATGTCCCAAGATTTGGGGATCCTAAAAACTAACGAGCAGGAACACAGATGTTTGCAGTAGTATTATTTCTACTTTTTCCAAATATTTGAACATTTTTATAATAAAAAAATTGGCAAAAAGAACAGTGGTCATTCTGATTCAAGTAATGGCAGAACAATCCTTATGACATCTGCAGGTAACAATTATAAGCCCTGGAAAAAACCAAAACAATTTGAAGGCACTGAAGAGCTGCCAAAAGCAGCCAAAGCCTGGAAGAGATTTGGTTCCTGAAAGAAGGAAACCTCACTGTGTTAAACAGCTTTTCCCAGGTCCCCCCCACCCCGCCCCTCCAACGCCCAACCCTCAGCCACGTGATATGAAGACTCYTACACCTCAAGCAGAAAGGCACATGTATGTTGTTTGGGGAATCAGAGAAAAGAGTTTTGGAGCTGCCAGAGCAGCTGAAAACTAAGGGGAGAAACAAGAAAAGGAGGGCCAAAGAGAGGGAGCTCTAAAGTCTGCATATAAAGCCCCTCACATCTTTGGCATATCCTCAATAGCTTAGGTGAGACTCCAAGGAGTCCAGAGAAGACCAACAGCTGGAAGACTGAAAGAAAAAGTTTTAGTTGATATTTAACAAAAACAYAGTAACAACTCTGCCAAATCTTTTTCACTTAGGGACATCCAAACTCTAGCATGGCTTCTAGCAGCAGGTGGCCACATCCCTAGGATGACTAAGGTTCCCACCAAAATGCCTACATAAGAAAATTCAGGGGCTGGGGCTCAGTGGTAGGGCACTTGCTTGGCACGTGTGAGGCACTCAGTTTGATTATCAGAGCCACATATAAATAAATAAAATAAAGGTCTATCAACAACTAAAAAAATTTTTTTTAAAAAAATTCAATGCTGCCAGGATAATTCACTGTACCTGGCCCAGCCCCCACCTCCCTTTCTTAGAGCACTTACTAAAAGGGCTTACAATTGTAAATATGTATCTACAACTCATGTGTCTTTCTCAAAGAACCTGAAAGCTATTCCTGAGAAATGTAATCACCAGGAAGGACTCGGATTCCATCTCCAAATCACAATGAGCTACTACTACCTGACACTCATTAGGATAGCTACTACTAAAAAAAAAACTATAAAATAGCAGGTTATTGATAAGGATACAGAAAAAGTGGAACCTTTGTATATTGTTAAGAATGTGAAATAGTATAGCCACTGTGGAAAACAGCCATTTAAAAATAATTACAAGTAGAATTAGCATATGATTCAGCAAAGACTCCAGAAAACTAAAAAAAGAATATAGGAAGAGATATGTGTACATTCTGGTCATAGCATCAGTGTTCACAATAATTAAATCATGAAAACAACCCAATGTCCATGAGCAGATGAATGGATAAGTAAAATGCGGTAAATACACACAATGGAATATTATTCAGCCTTAATTTAGGAAGGAAATTCTGTTGGGCACAGCAACATACACCTGTAAACCCAGCTACTTGGGATGCTGGTGTTGAAAGATTTGCAAATTCAAGGCCGACCTGGGAAACTGAATGAGACTTGCCTCAAAATAAAACAAAAAGGTCTGGAGGTAGAGCACAGTGATAGAGCACTTGCCTAGCATGCAAGGGCCCGGGTTCAATTCCTAGTACTGGGTACACAACATTTTTCTATATGGTGTTAGGTAAAGGTCAAGATTCACTCCCTTGCACACGGATATTCAGTTTTCCAGCACGATTTACTGAAGACAGGACGGTGGGGTGGGGTCAGCGGAGGCCACGCGCTCACCTTCAGCACTAGGACTTCGAGCATCCTGCTGGCGCCTCCTCTGGCCTGCAGGCCCGCTCCTCCCAGACGACTGACACCGTCCAGCCCGCGCTCTGCCGTGCTCCCCGCCCTACCCGCAGAGTTTGGCGCCTCCGCCCTACGTCGGGGCGCGCCCGCCGCTGGACCCAGGTTCCAGCCTCCGCTCCACCACTCGCCCACGCGGACCTCCGGGCCACTGGCCGCCACGTCCCAGAGTCGACGCGCTGGGTCCTCCAACTCGATGCCGCCGCGGTTGCGAAAGACACGCTGGAAGCTTCTTGCGCGCCTCGCCTCYGGCCTCCCGCACACCCACGGCGCCGCCGACACCAGCCCACGTGCGCAACGGCCCGCGTCGGCCCCCACGCAGGCCTCGAGGTGCGCAGAGACCACGTGAGGCGCCCAACGGCCGGCCTGCGCGCAGCGCGGCGGAGCGGCGGGGCGGGCGGACGGAGTACGTCCCCGACTGCGCGGCTTCCGAAAGCCAGGGCCTCGCCTGCCTTCCATCTTACCTGTCCCGAGGAGCCTGCGGGCCCAGCCACTTCGAGGTCGCTGCGTTCAAAGAGGCCCGGGCCCTCCCGCCCTGTCTAGACCAGCCTCCTCTGCTTCACCCCGGGGTCCGTCCTTGAAAGATACCCGACTCTCACTCGCAGACTTGGTGGTGAGAAGGACTCCTGGTCCGCCAGGATCCCCGGSGTCCGGGGGCCTCCCTGACAACATTCCCACCTGCCCTACACCTTCYGGCAAGACCGCGCCCTGGCTTTGCAGCCACCTGGCCTTCCAGTGGAACCCAGCTGAAGAAAGGTGCTGGTCTAGATGATTTTCCAGCTCAATTCTTTTCTTTTTATTTTCTCCCGCCCACCTTTTCCCCCCCTTTTTTTCAGGGCCTGGCGTGCGCTAGGGAAGTGCTCTGCCACTGAGCTACATTTTTGAGATGGGTTCACACTAAGTTGCCCAGGTTGGCCTTGACCTCAACTTCATGCCACAGCCTTCTGAATAGAGGGATGAAGAAGTATGCCACTGTCCCCTGCTGCAGCTGAATTCTTTATTTAAATTATGAGAAAGCAAAATTTCTTAAGTTTACACTAAAGTGTGCTCATTTGCTAAGAGAACCAACAACGTGGCCTCCAGTTGAGAGAGGGATTGTGGAAATTGTGTGGCCATGTATTTAAGAACAGAGCAATCACATAAGCTTCCAGTTTTAAAACTTAATTTCACAAGGTGCCACGAATATATGCTTTAAATCTCAGAAGGATGGTTGGAAARGATAGGTGTGTGACTGCCAGGAGAAAAACAACTTCACCTGAAAGCACTAAACCTTATCAAAAGAGATGGGAAGCTGGCTGCAATGGCCTACAGATGTAATCTCAGCTACAGGGGAGGCTGAGGCAAGAGGATCACAAGTTCAAGTCCAATCTCGGCTATTTAAGGAGACCCTGTCTCCAAATTGCTGGGAATATAGCTCATTGGTAGAACCCCACCTCACCCTCTCACCCCCACCTCACCCTCTCACCCCCACCCCTTGTTTTAAGTCCCCAGTATGAAAAAAAAAGTGGGGGCAATAGGATTTGATTCTGGTCAGTCCCAGTGACAGTTCCAATCCCTAAGCCCTGGAGATCCAGGTTTATACCCACTTGGTAGCATATGACTGCCTTTTTTTCTTTTTTGACTAGATCCCATGCTATAGTATGTTGTTTTGAAACTTTTTTCACAACATGAAATGAAAACACATGCCAAGTAGGCATGTATTCTTTAGCTTATAAGTGTAGTTTCAAGAGATGTGTGATATCATAGAAGACAAGTTTTTCTGGCTGTGTTTTCCTGGACAGTTTAGCATGGAGTAGTGATAGAATGAAAGAGGAGGAGTAGGGATAAGTCTTCATCTTTCTGTTTCTGTACCAGAGGCCCTGGTAGCCATCCAGTAAGAGTCCATATGATTAATGCCACAAACACAAGCTAGACTCTAAAACAACATAACTTTTCAGCGGCTTTATTTGGGGCTGCTGGGGCAGTGTGTCAACTGCAGATAGGAAGTCATGTGATCAGTTGAAGAAAACRAAATATTTTTGTGTCTCCCCACCCCCCAATGTACTAGAGATTGAGCCCAGGGTCTCACACTTGCTATGTGAGTGCTTTGCCACTAAGCTACACCTCCAGCCSTTTATACTTTATTTTGGGACAGGATTTCACCAATCAGTCCAGACTGACTTGTGATTWYTCCTGCCTCAGCTTCCCAAGTCACTGGGATTACATGGATGTGCCACTATGCCTGCCCAGAAAGAATTCCTGGGGGACTAGTTTCATTCAGATTAACAATATTGAGTTAAACTATCTTTTCTATGAAAAAAAAAGTCACAATTTTTTCATGACATCTAAAATCAATCAGTCATAGTAACTCCAGTGAAAAGTGTTGCAGGGTTAGGGGTAAAGTTCTTCCCCTGCTTATGGCACTAACTAGTTGCATGAATCTGTATCTGTTTTCTCACTTGAAAAAATCATGGAGTAAACAGRTTCCTTTGGTTCCTTCCCTGTAACATTCTAGTATTCTCTGAGAATGAAAGACYAAGCCCAAGGCTAAAAGTCATTAAGGAGAGTTATAGTAGACTCRGAAGCCAGAAGGAATGACAACTATGTCTGTGGTTCTCATACTTCACCTATCRGGACCATTTACTAAAACAAGTAAAATTGACTTTAAATCAGTGTTTCTCAGCCTTGGCCAGACAACTCTTTGTCTCAGGCGGRTTATTTAACTGCATCCCTGGTCTCTCTCCACTAGATGGTGGTAGTATCCCCTCCTCAGTTGTGACAAACAGAAATGCCTAAAATAGCCAGTTGACCCAAGGGCSAAAGTGCCCAGGTAGAGAACCACTGCTCTAGATATATTCCTCTAATCAGGATTAAATAATACACATAAGTTTTATCATTGCCTTTATTTGGTTGTTAGAAAAACTAAGAAATTTCAAAAAATAAGAAATCTATTGTGTTATGCATAATATAGTCAAATATAATGAAAAAGAATTGGTGTTTTTAACTATTAATTCCCACCTTTAATCAGCAAAAAAATTATACCTCTTTAAAGGAGGTGAAAACACTATCCATATTAACCATACTGAAAATAAACCTAATTTAACATTCTCTCTGTGTATTTATTAACCAGTACTGAATAACATAAAAAGTTGATAGGTTTATATGGCTTCATACTTCTTTAAAATATTAACTAAAATAGATTTCCAATTTGGAAAACATAATATATTATACTAATGCCACTTGGTTTTAAACAGATTGGATCTTAGTAATSAAGCTAAAGACAATAGCAAGAAAACAATGGCATTATCACTTGAAGGGTRTCTCAGTCTAGTGTTTGCCATCCAGTCAGGCACTCTTAAATTAATTTCAGCAGAAAGTCTAAGAAATTCATGGTTCAGCTTCCAAAGCACATCAGGAAAAATGCTAATATGTGGGACAATTGAAACAATGGCAATAGAACRTCTTATTTAAACTTTTAGGCTAATAAAACAATACAGAAGTAGGGCCCCTTGTGACTTTTTTTTTCTCATTTTGTAACATGTCAACTTTATACTCACTGCATACTGAATGATTAAAAGAATAAAATAAGCAAGAGAGCTCCACAACACACTTAAAAGAAGAAACACACCATGATAGCTTGCACAGGCACCAAGTTATATAAATTATATAATTTTCAAACAAGTTTAGTCAACCAGTTTAGAAAGAAGTAGCTCCCTACAAATGGCTCTTACTTATTATGTAGTTCTTAGGATAAACATGTTTATACTTTGACTGAACAGTCACATGGACCTCATAAAGATGGCGATTGTGTATCACTATTCGGTGAAATTTCTTGCCTTCCTTCATGATTTCTTTAGTTGTTTTTTCAGTAGACAAAGACTTTTCTACATAGTCTGAATCTTCTAGGTACAGCTCATCTCCTGAAAAACAATAAAAACTTAAATCTATAAAGTATCATTTTATAAATCATTCAAATATATTAATGACATATAAATTGGTATTTATTTTTATCTATTTCATGCATTTGGAACTRAGTTGTTAAATAACCCTAGTTTTACAAGTTTATATTAATTTTTTCTCATATTTTTAATATTTTCACCCTCCCCTTATCCTCTACCCAAGAATTTTCTTTGAGCACATAAAAATTTCTGACTGAAATGTTCTTCATTGTGAACTGTAAATTTTATATTAGTTCATGACTCTCTTTAGTGTATTAAATACTGACATTGATATTGATCTTGACAGTCATACTTTTGATATTTCTATATGGGCTGTTCTGATAAGGTTAATTTAAAGAAGTTGTTATTTACATCAAAACTGCCAAACTATAGGTTGAGTAACAAATCTTATCACTATTCTCAGGAGCTGAGCAGGCAGATATAAAGTATGATAGGTCACAAAATCCCTGCCACAAAACTGTGTTCGCCAAACTACAATCGACCATCAACAAATATCCTACCTCAATTTTATACTCATGGCATACTGTATGGTTAAAAGACCATAACTCTAGTTGGCAGCTTACAAGTTCTCATAATTCAAAATTATGGTTCAGGTTGTGGCTCAGTGGTAGAGCACTTGTCTGGCATGTGTGAGRCACTGGGTTCAATCCTCAGCACCACATAAAAATAAACAAAATAAAGGTATTGTGTCCATCTACAACTAAAAAAATTTTWAAAAATAAACTRTATARAGTGAGATATGAATACATGAGAAAGAAATTTGTCAATGTCTACAAAATGTACTTATAAGCTGGGCACAGWGGCCCATGCCTGTAATCCCAGTCGCTCAGGAGGCTAAAGCACAAGGATCTCAAGTTCAAAGCCAGCCTCAGCAAAAGCAAGGTGCAAAGCAACTCAGTGAGACTCTTGTTTCTAAATAAAATACAAAATAGAGCTGAGTTGAGTGCCCCTAAATTCAACCCCCAGTAACCCCCCAAAAATATACCTATATAAATGTGTATGTGATGTCATTCAGAATTTCTGGTTATATAAATACCATTGATGTTTTACAGACTTTGGCTCTATTTAATTAATACCTTGTAGGCTAAACAACTTAACTGTAATTCATATCTCTGTGCTGGGTAATACTGCCAGACAGCCCAGTGACTGTGYATACTGACAAAATGTTTTGCTGCTTCACTGACTTACCAGGTAAAAGCTGGAGCATCCCATCAGCAGTTAAATATGTAATCGGCATCCACCGTTCAACCTCTTCTAAGGCACGATCCAAACAAAATTTATGCAGGTCAGACAGAGAGGCAAAGTTTTCAAGTCGTCTTACTTCGTAGAACTGTGGGGGTGCCAGCCAAATTTCTTTTGATATGAAACTTTTAGTTGCCTCTGATGGAGATGACCACTGTGGAAGATAAAGGTAGGGCTTCCATCAAATAGATTGCTAGGTTAATGCATAGGATCTACTTATAATTTTATATCTTATTATTATGTCATTAAAGTGCCTTGCTAGATCCCTCTGAAACAAAGGAAACATTGGGGGAGGGTGTTGCAGTGGCACATACAGTAGTCCCAGCTAATTGTGAGACTGAGGCAGGAGGATGGCTTAATTAGAGGGGTTTAAGACCAGCCTGAGCAACATAGCAAGACCTGCTCTATTAAAAAAAAAAAAAAAAAAAAAAGATCCAGAGAAGAAAGCTGTGCTGATCCTCTTAAGAGGTTGATTACTGGAGCACTGACCCCAGCCAAGGTCAGTGAACCAGGACGGATCACGAAGGATTGAGTTGGGAGTTGTTCAGCATAAAAGGAAGAAGATGTGGAAGGGTTATAGTGGTTCTGTTCATTCCCAAAGGAAGACTGAAGGGTAAACTTCTGACAGTAGATTGAGAATTTGATGCCTTCATTCCTCCCATAAACGAGTACCTTGGCTTGGCCTGAAGAAATGATGGACAAAACTCTAAAATAGAGACACTATAGGGCTTTTAGCCACCAAAATACATCATGATGTATGACACACACTACAATGGAGGTGAAGAAWCAGGAACAATAGGAGCTTTCAGGAAGGTCAAGAAGCAGCCTCAGCCTACAGTCCAGAGACTAAWAACTGTAGAGTTTCAGCCAGACAGGGTCTGCCCATTAAATTCAAGTGGGGCAAACTGCTCTCCTGCCACAGCTTTCCTTCACAGACCCTGAGATAAAAAGAGTGACTCAGGAATATGGAAAAACTCCCAAAGGCCCTAGCCACTGATAACCAAACCCACCCACCATCCTTTTCTCCCTCCCTTCCTTCTCTCCCTCCCTCCCTCCTTTCCTCTCTCCCTCCCTCCTTTTCCCTCTCCCCCCTCCTTTTTTTTTCTCTTTCTATGGTACTAGGGATTAAATACAGGAGTGCTTTACCACTGAGCCACATCCCAGCCCTTTTTTTACTTTGAGATCCGGGCTCGATAAATTGCCTGGGCAATCTGTGATCCTCCTGCCTCAGCAACCCAAGCAGTTGAGATTACAAGCATGTATCACTGCACCTGTTTCTTAACTGACATATGACACAGTAATAGTTTTTGAGAAAGCCCAGTCCATTCCACTTGAGCCACAGCCCACCCTCTTCTATTTTAGCATATAAACTCCTTCCTCCTGCCCTGGAATGCAGGGAGTCCTCTTGTCCTGCTGCAGCCCAAGACATGTGGAAGCTCCTAATAAATTCCAACTTTGTGCAATGCTGAATCTGCCTGCCTTTTTCTTTGGTCTTTAGGCACCTTCCTCCTTTGGTGGCCAGTTCTCATTCACCAGGACTGAGTTTTTCTAACGGCCCCCCCACCCCAAACTCAGAGTTAAAACTGACCTCTGCCTTAGGTGACTATGGATCAAAGGTTTGTGAACCTGTATGTGCTCAATTATCCCAAGAGGCCTGATAAATCTTTACATCCCTTTGRCTCTGGTAGAGGGCCCTGGTAGAGGGATCATTCTGAAGTTGGCCAAGGCTGCAATTTGAAAATCAAAGCTCTGGGTCTCCAAGTTACCCAATCGTTAAGTTATTTCCAGGGCATTCTGATTTCTCTGTCCTGTGAGTTCGACAACAGGCAAGGTGATAGTCATCTTCCACTTAATCCAACCTCTTCAGATTATTCTAGACCATCGGTTATGATAAGTTATCATTTATTGCTTACTTGTTACCAGTAAAGCTCTGCTCAAAATGCTTTATATAAAATATTTCTAGTCCTTAGGATAATGCTGCAAAGTCCCATTTTACAGATGAGAACATTTAGGTAGCTCCTCTAACTAGAAAATCTTGGTTTCAAACTCTTGGGGTATCTGACTCCAAATTCCACTGTTTCTACTAGATTTTTGAACCTCAACWCAACTGACACCAGGCCAAAAGTCTTTGTTGAGGGCTGCTGTGTAYGCACTGAAACAGGGATACCAGCAGCATCCTTGGGCTCTACCCACTAGATGGCAGTAACAACCCCCCAATTGTGACAACCAAAAAAAAAAAAAAAAGGCTCCAGACATTGCCAAGTGTACCCTTGGGGGGGGGGGGGATCACCCCCATTTAAGAACCACTCATCTAAGCTAGCTTAAGAATTACTAGCCGGGTATGGTGGTGTACATTTAAAGCACCTGCACTGAGGAAACTGAGGTGGGAAAATCATTGACTCCACAAGTTCAAGACCAGCCTGGGCAAGATAGTGAGGGCCATCTCAAAAGAACTGTTTATWGGAACCTCCTCTTCCAAGCATGAGAGTTTGAATTATACTCCTTTGGCCAATTAAATAGTAGAGCTCAGGATAAAATCTATGAAACAACTATTTCCAGACACTGAAAAAAGCAGTACTATAATTTCTCAGAAAAGAAAAATCAATGAGGTGAACCCTACCATTGTCTGGGGTTTCTGCCTAAAAATATAGGACAAGGAGAGAGAATCTAATCAGAGTCTAGGATTCTTGAAGACTTGAGAAGACAGAAACCAGAATTTGGGAAGCTCACACAGGCTAGCATTTGGAYACAGTGGACCTAGGAGGAAGGATCTACACAGAATAGAAAATCTGTACAGAGCACCCTTGAATCTTTGCTAAACACACATCTGGCCATGCAGAAGGTGAAACGATATGGTATTGGAAAAGATATCAGAAGAAGGAACGACTAGGGCYGTGACTGTGGCTCAGTGGGGCTGTGACTGTGGCCTGGCATGCATGAGGCAATGGGTTTGACCCTCAGCACCACATAACAACAAAATAAAGGTAGTGTCACCCACAACTAAAACATTAAAAAGGGGGAGGGGGGAAGAAGAACAAGGATACAAGGATTACCTAGAAGCTTAAGACTAAATTCCCAGAGCTCATTTGGGGCCAAGAATTTTTCAATTCCCTCCAACCATTCAATATAAGGAGCATTCAAATAAACTCCCTACCAGTCACACARTGGAAGTGCGGCTAAATTGGCTCTAAATTAAAGGATACTGTAGATACACTCTAAAATCATTTAAAATAAATCTCAAAAGTATTAAGTTGTAGTAAATGTTGCCAAAACCATCTAAAGAAATATGGCAAAATCCAGCACTTAACAACATAAAATGAAAATTTCCAACATCTAATAAAAAATTATAAGACATGACAAAAGTAGGAAATGTGATCCATAACTAGAAGAAATCAGTCAATATAAAAGACCAAGAAATTACAAATAACATGGAGTTGGAGAGAAGTTTATTTTTTGTCTGTACTATAGATTGAATCCAGGGAKGCTTTACCACTAAGCTATATCCCTGATCCTTTTTATTTTTTATTTTGAGACAAGATCTCACTAAATTGCTTAGGTTGGTCTTGAACTTGCAATCCTCTTGTCTCAGCCCTGAATCACTGAGCCACTGCATCCAGCCAGAAAAGATCATTAACCCCCCCACTATAAGTATGTTTCACTGGTTCAAAGCTGTAAATTAAAATATCCACAYGATGAGAGAAATAGAAAATATTTTTAAATAATTAAATGGAGCTTCTAGAGGCGAATAATATCTAAAATGAAAAATCCACTTGGATTGTATTTACAGCAGATTAGATACTTCACAAGAGAGTAAATTTGAAAACATAGCAATAGAATGTATTAAAATGAAATACAGAGGAAAAAAGATTGAAAAAAGCAAATGAGGCATTAATAACCAATGGAACATTATCAAGTAGCCTCAGATATGTAACTGAGCCAGGCATGATGGTGCATGTCTGTAATCCAGGGGGCTCGGGAGGCTGAGGCAGGAGGATCAMAAGTTCAAAGCCAGCCTCAGCAATTTAGCAAGGCCCTAAGTAACTCAGTGAGACCTAAATAAAATACAAAAAAAATAAAATACAAAAAAGGGCTGGGGATGTGGCTCAGTGGCTAAGTGCTCCTGGTTTCRTTCCTTATTACCTGTGGGAACAAGTGCATGGAATACTGCATACATAGCATAAGTTAAGGGCGTCTGAGTGGCAGGGCACTCCCCTTGTGCTAGGTGCCTGAGTAGCAGGCCACTTACCCCTTAGGCACAGCTCTTGGTGTGAGGCCATGTGTTGCAGTCCCTGTACTTGCTCCACAGCCCACTCCTCGTTTGACCGCTGCAAGGACAGCTAGCAGAAATTGTATTGGTGGCTGCCTGTAAACTGCTTAGCTACTGCCTGAGTATACACACATGGTAACTGCACAATAAACTCATATCTGTTTCCTGCTTGGTCTCAGGAGGTCTTGATTAGCGACTCCTGTTCCGTGGACCCCTCGCTGGACAAGACAGAGCCCATGCAATTACCCAGTACAAAAAAAAAAAAAAAATGTGTAATTTAAGTCCCAAAATAGGGCGAGATGTGAAACATTTGAAGAAATGAACAAGTAAGAAAAGATAGGGACTGGGGGGGGGGCAGGTTCTTCAGTGGTAGAGAGAGCTTGCCTAGCAGTGGTAAGGCTCTCTGTCCAATGCCCAACACGGAAAAGAAACAGAAGAGAAGGAAAGGAGAAGAGAAAGATAGAAAGAAATGGAGTGAGAGGGAAAGCAATGCACATCAGGATAAAATTGCTGAAAACCAATTACTAAGAGAAAGTATTCAAAATAGCCACACACACCAAAAACACACTAAATGTAGGGGGAGAATGATTAATAATAACAGCAGACTTCTCATAAAAAATGTATGTCAGCCAGAATATAATTAAGAAACATCTCTAAGTACTGAAAGGGAAAAACAAAATCAAAAAAGGGTCCACCTACAATATGTGCATCAAAAGTAAGAGTAAAATATATTTTTCTGATCAAAAAATTTAGAGGATTTTTAGAAGAGCTGAGCAATAAGAAATATTATAGAAAATCCTTTATAGGAAGTTATTTTTGTTGTTGTTGTTTGGTACCAGGTATTGAACCAAAGGGGCACTTAACCACTGAACCACATCCAGAGCCCTTTTTTATATTTTAAAAAGGACAGGGTTTTGCTGAGTTGCTTAGGGTCTCGCTAAATAGCTAAGGCTGACTCTGAACTCACAATCCTCCTGCCTCAGCCCTCTTGAGTCACTGGGATTTATAGGAAGTTCTTTGGACAAATAGATGGCCAGGTGTAGTTTTTGACCAACATAAAGAAGTGAAGAGCAGTATTCATGGTAAATATGCAAGTAAACCCAAAAAGACATTTTTCCCCTTATTTCCAGTCTTTAAAAGATTGACTAAAACTGTCAAGGTGGCACACACCTGTAATCCCAGAAACTTAGGAGGCTGCAACAGGAAGATTGAAAGCTCAAGGTTAGCCTGGGAAACTTAGAACTTGTCTCAAAATTAAAAAAAAAAAAAAAAAGGTCTGAGAATATAGTTCAGTGGTAGAGTGCTTGTACAAGKCTTCTGGTTCAATCCCTAGTACTGGGAGAGAGACAAAAAAGACTTGTCTACTGTCTAAAGCAAAAATAACTGTGCAGTTAATAGAAATAAAAGTATGAAAACTGCACAAAGGAAAGGAGGGGAGAAATAGAAGTTAAGTTGTCCCTTGGTACCTGTGGGGGCTTGATTCCAGGACTCTTCACCCTCAGATTCCAAAATCTGAAGATGCTCAAGTCCTTTGTATAAAATGGTGCAGTGTTTGCATATAACCTACACACATCCTCCTGTACTTATTTGCTTGTTCATTTATCGGTACTTCGTTTA